GTTAGAGCTTGGTCCTGTGAAACAGGACAGTAAATGTATGCTGATATTCAGAACTTGGTATGTTGGCATGGTTAGAGTTTGGTCCTGTGAAACATGACACTAAATGTATGCTGGTATAGTTAGAGCTTGGTCCTTGGTCGCTGTGCTTACAGTTAGGATTGAGTCTCGAATTCTAGCGTTACAAGTCTTCAAGTTTACTGTCTAGACACTAGGGGAGAAGTAGATGTAAACGATAATGATGCGGTTGAGTTCAAAAGAAAATGGAGAAAAAATAAACATAAACCAATGAAAAGAGAATTGTTAGAGCACGTGAAAACTGGTAACGATATCTTAATGTTAATTACAGATAGATGAATACTTTTGTTTATCGCAAAGCTACACAATGAGCTATCTGTGCTTTGTCCACCACGTGTATCGAACTTCGGTTTTAGCGTTTTTAACGTGTGCACTGTTCATCCAGAAAGACGAGTTGACTATTTCCCATCTATCTATATCTGATCAGTCTATATTCTTGCAAACAATCAGAACAGTGTTTTAGAACAACTAACAAAGTCAAAGCGGAAATTTCACTTTGAACGCGTAGTACTTTTCATTAATAACTTAATTAAGAACATTATGAAACATTAAAAAAATGTTGCACCGCTGATTTTTAGATCTTGTAATGCTGAGAGAAGTGAGTATTTTAAACATTTGTTTATAAGTATATTCTAGAACAAAGATCCGTAACGGCGAAACGATGGTTCAATTAATTAAACTATCTCTGGAATATTGGAGTCGTTTATATATATATATATTAATTAATTAATCTAATTAAAGCTTCCATTTGCTTTGTATTGTTCTCCACACAGCTGTTGACCCACAAGTGGCATGAACTTCTGGTGCTGACCACGTGTGCTTATCAAGCCATCCATGGACCGGTCAAGGGTTCCGAAACGAGCCTTGAACAGGATATAGCTGCTGGTCTTTGTCGTCTTCAGAACTGTCTAGCTGCTATGATGGGACGCCCAATCACGCTTGAGCAGCTACGTTTAGAAGCTGGCCCCCTGGTGGAACATCTTACCCAGCTGAGCTGCGCATTCCGACGGATGAGGTTGTGTGTTGAAGAATATGTTTGCCTCAAGGTGATCATCATGTTAAACCAAGGTGAGGGAAAATACCGTGCCTTGATTGCTGTTTAAATTGCTAATTATTTGCACAATGAATTATTCGTGCATTGTTGCCTCAAGGTGATCATCATGTTAAACCAAGGTGAGTGAAAATACCATGCCTTGAATGATTGTTTAAATTACTAATTATTTGCACAATGAATTATTCTTGCATTGTTTGTTCACGGTGTGAATTTATGCAAGCATAAAATAAGTCATTCGTTGGTAAATTTGTGAAATACGTACTCGTAAAGAGAAGGGAAACAATATATCTTTTTTTTTTTAAATTCCTCATAGAAATATTCTAGTAATTCTTTACTCCAATTAGTAGTAAAAACTTTACATTTAAAGTCCATCTTATTTTCCTATTATTCCACAGAGAAGTACCAAGGTCAACGGGAACTCGAGGTAATCCAAGAACGTTACTTAGCAACTCTTCGCGAATTCATTGAGCATCGTTTCCCTCAGCAACCCAGTCGATTTAGTGACCTCCTAGCTCGCCTTCCAGAAGTCCATGCAGCAGCTGGATTATTACTCCAGAGTAAGATGTTTTACGTTCCATTTATACTTAACACTAGCATCAGTAGATAACGACTGGTACCTGGAAGTATGTTTGGTTTTCAAAACTCGCATACACGTGGGAGCCATCATCAAAAGGCGGGAGGACCTCAAATCATCGTCGCCACACCTGTAAAGTGTGAAGGGGGATTCCCCCCGACTAGTCAGCTCCTGGGTTAGCCAGCTACTACAAGACGGAGGCAACAGGATGCCACAGTGGCCAAGTGTGAAGGGTCAAAGGCAAACCTCTGTCTGGTTCTGTGCAATAATTCGTGCGGATGAGAAAATTATGTTCCTGTAAAAGCAGAGCCTAGAGAAACAGCGCATAAAACATGACATAATATCGTGTCTAGGCTCACTTTAACAAACAATATATATATATATATATATTTCCCAGGTTTAAACTGTATAATTTCTTTTGTGGATGTTGCAAAGTTCATGTTGTGAAGAATTGCGAACTCTTAGTGTGTAATAAAGTGACAATTTTGGCATGTCTCTTTAGAGTCGAGTTTTCATGATTGAAACAGAGCGGAAAAGTCTGATTCTGTGTCAGTTCAAAATATTAGAACCAGCAGTGGTGCAGATTAGAAGCGTTGCAGCATCTACAAGGTTTCAGAAGCCAATCTGGACCGGGTTTTGAAGAGCTGTTCAGCGACTGCGCGAGCGTGTGCCTTAATGAAATTTGATGTCACATAACCACGTGACCACTAAGAAAAGGCTTAATATCTACGAGTAATCGCGTAAACCCCCAAAGAAAAAACGTATTCTGATAATCTTTTGTTTATCTAATTCCTCTTTTTTATAATAATAATAATAATACCAATCAGACGAGTTTCACAATGAAATATTTAAAAAACAAACGAACAAAAAACACTACTTAAATTTATCATCAGACGTTAGATACAAATAACACATTTGTTCTTTTTGTTCTGGATAACATCTCCAAGTCTCTTCTTAATGTAGGCCTTTCCTTGTATGAAACAAGTTATGAACTGTTGTATAGCCAAGTTTCGAACACACTACATTGGAAAACGTGACCGTACACCTAATGAGCGAAAACATTGTTTTTGATAATTCAACTTTCGCAAAATTGTTTTTTTTTTAAACAGAACTACAACTGTGTTCATATTATCACTAGATACAAACGACCGTATAACACCAACATGTTGTTTTTACGTAATTAAACACCCAACGTTTCGCTTTACAGCTTCTTCGGGAGCGCTCACAAAAACACAAACGTTGAGTGTTTAATTACATAAAAACAACATTTTGGAGTTATACGGTCGTTCATTTCTAGTATTAATATGTCTTCTATACATCAATACGCACTAGGGAAATTAAATAATGTGTATTCATATCATGTTTTTGATAACTGTTATTATGAAAATCAAAGAAACGGAACAGTAAAAAAATCATAATAAAGTAACTTATTTCTATAAAATAAATGTCAAAACTTTGTCTACGTCACGTGAGAATGGTAACTACACAACTAGCCAAGTATTTAACAATAACTATATAACGAACATTAACCTCCTGGGGGCAGTTCTTTATCTGAAGTTTGAAATAAATATAAGAACTTGTTTCGTGAAGGCAATAAATTTTATCTAATAATTTTGACCTTAACAATGGTCAATGTATCAATATTCTGGTTAGTTTTTACAACAATATTGCGTCCAAATGCTGCTAATGGCTGTTGATCCTGCCCTCAATGTGTTTTTTTTGTTTCTTGGCTATTTTTTTTTTCTACAAGATTCTGCTATTAACCAATACCAGACAACTTCTTCCTCATGACGAAAGCTGAGAATGTATTGTTAATAAACCGGTGGACGATACCTCTGTTGCGTATCTGCTTGTTTGTTAATTTCCCGTAGAAATTCTTTTCGAGAAACTTCAGCGATACAAGTCCTTTCTTAATTAAAACTAGTTTATTCTTTCTCGATACAACTTTGCAATACACGGAATTTCCACAGTCAATACGTTTGCAATCTCGATAACAAAACACACACTTTATATTACCGTCGCTACCGCTCGCTTGACTCAATTATCTGTCTCTATATCTATCTGCTATTTTTCTCCGCTTTATTTGCCGGGCTTATATACAA